GGTACAAAATTACTGACATAATCAGACCGCCAGGGAGGTTAAAAGAATCCAAGGGTTAACAGGCCACGGCAGACTACTGGAGCGCTAGCCCTAGACTCAGCACTTTAAAAACAGGCTGATTCCAAGCGGCTAAAGCAGTTACCACAGAGCCCAGAGCTCAGCCTTGCCAGAGAGACTGGTGTCTGAATCCTGGAGAGAGATGGAAGCGATTGCTTTCATGTCAGTGTCGCCAGAATGACATCAACCTGTCTGTCTGTCTGGAGTCTGTAATATTTACTCAAGTGAAAGAAATCCTCCAGCCACAGGTTTCCTTTGCCACCACGTGCTTACTGTCCTGGGGACCGGGAGGCCCTCCACCTGGGAGGTGCCCTTGTTTGCATGGAGGGATTCCACACTGTCCTCTTTTGGGCCTGGAGCTCAGCCTTCTCGGAGCTGTTTGGTCACGTGGCCTCCCTAACAGACTGTAGGCAGATTGTTTCCTTTAGTCCTGAGCTACACTTGCTGTTGTCATCTGTTGATTTGCAGCTTAGCCTACAGTCCCGCCTCCTGGGGTGCTCTGCCCCTGGCCCACCTTTGTGGGTGTTGCGTCCCTCCTGGCTCCGGGGGCAGCACAGGATCGTGGTTCTGGCTCCCGGCTGCTGTCTGGTTTCCTTTCTGAAAGACTGAGCTGAGGGCGGGTGGGCAGACCCAGCCCTGCCTCTCCCGGCAAGGCCCTGGCTGGCACCTAGCTGCCTGACACATATGGGAATCAGCTGTCTTGCACCGAGAGTGGGAAATATCACCCGAGTCCCAATAGGGGAAAGGCGTTTAATGAAAAGATCTTTTCTATGGTTGAAGCTTTGCTGCAGCCACAGCTGCTCAGGAAAGTCACAATTACTGAAGAAAAAGTGGGCACTTTCTCAAGGTCACTGGCATTGCTGACGCCCTTGACCCTCGCGCTCACTGAGGCCACGAGCTGGGCATCTGACTGTTGGGTTGCCTGTGGTCGCCATTTGGCTGGTGCTCTCTGTGGCCTGAGGCCTATGGAAGCTGCTGCTTTAGGTCTGGTTTCCTAAAACAGCTTGAGGCAGCGCCGTGTGCTGACGCTTGTGGGGGAGGAGAATGGGGTGGGCGCTGGGAAGGCCTGGGAACACTTTTCAGGGTGTGTGCTCCGGGCTGGGCACAGTTCTGCCCCAGGCTGGCCGCTTTCCCTCTCGGCCGGTCCTCAGAGAGGCCACATAAAGCTTTTGCAGCTCTGAACACTGCAAGGCAGGGGTGTGGCGAGGAACACAGAGCAAAAGTCACCACTGGCTCCAATATCCCATTGCCTAGGTCAGCCCGACCTTCAGCCTGACCTTCAGCCTGACCTTCAGCGCGACCCACCAACCAGAAGTGACTGGATCCTGGGTCAGAGCAACACGTTTCAGACAAAGGACCTCGAGGGCAGGGCTGTAACTTGGCAAATAGGCGGGGTGCCTGCAGGGCCCTGTGTCTTGGTCAGACAACGCACAGGCCCCGGAGTGTGGCCTACGGCAGTGTCGGTCTCCCCAAAGGTGCTTTGGGGTGCAGAGGCTGGAGCAGCAGTTGGGGAGCTGCGTGGACTCATCTGTGAGGAGCCGAGGGAGCCGAGCGCTGGGGCCTAGAGCCTGGGGTGGAAGTTACCTTCACCTGGGAGTAGATGACAGAGGAATCCTGGGGAAAGAGCACACAGGTGAGGGCAGGGCTGGGGCAGCGGTGGGAGGGCACACGGGTCATGGGACTCACCTTGTCCTCGAGGAGCCCAGGTGTGGCGGCCGCTGTGGAAGGAAGGGCAGCGTTGAGTTGCGAGGGGCCCAGAGCCCCCCTTGGCCCCGGAGCTGTCACCCCGGCCACCGCGGCCATCAGTGAGGGCCAGCATTCCGTAGCCGTCTGGCTGTACTGCCCTCAGCTTCCCTAAGGCCCTGCCCCACAGCTGTCACCCACGCCCTCAGCGTCACACTTGTTCCCATGTCCAGCTCNCTTTCCGAGCTGGATGTGGGGGTGTCGGTGAGTGAGGCCTCGGCCAGGTGCTGGGTGAGCGCGGGCGGGGCAGGGAGCACCTGCCTACACGTGGGTTTCCAGACTGTGGTGGGCCGAGCAGCGGCCCCCACGATGTCCACGTGGTAACTGTGAAATCCTATGAGCACGTTGGATGACTCGCAAGGAGAATAGGGAACAGAATTACCATTGCTAATCAACTGCAGGACAATAAGGAGGTTCTTGGGGAGAGTCTGGGTGGGACCAGTGTGAGCTCAAGGTCCTTCAGTGGAAACGGAAGGACAGGGTTCAGAGGGCGGCAGCGTGAGGAGGACGAGACCCAGCACTGCTGGCCTGGGAGGCGGGGAGGGTGGCCCCCATGCAGGGACGTGGGTGCCACTGGATGGTGGGAAGGGCAGTGTTGGGTCCCCAGAGCCCGCAGAAGGACAGCAGCCCTGCTGACACCCTGCCCCCAGCTCAGTGTGTGACCTCTCACCTATGGCCAGTGAGATAATGAGTCTGTGTGGATCTCAGCACAGAGCGGTTGTACTTTGTGACAGCAGCACAGGAAACTATCACACCAATGACATATGGCTGCACTGATTCCTCTAAAGAGGCAGAAGTGTTGTGGTGATAATCCCATCCCCTCCCAGGTTCTGTCTTCCTGTCCCCTAACACTGCAGTGACTCTAGCTCAGGTGTGAGTGTCAGGTCTGCTCTGCGCTTGTGCTGAGCTCACTCACCTGACTTCCCGGGAGCTGAGAGAGACTGAAGGCTGGGTCTGGAAGGAGTCCCTGAAGGAGGGCCTATGTGACACTCGTGGGGACCAGAAAAGGCAGTGGCCCTGGGAGCGGGTGAGAGGTGTCACCTACCGTAGACAGTGAGCTGGAACACCTGGGTAAATTCCCCTCCTCCGGTGAAGCTGGCTCGAGCCCGGTACTGTCCACTGTCCTCACGGGTCAGGTTCGCAATGAGCAGGGACCTCATATTGGGCACACGGACCCTGTGCCTGTACTTGTCCTGGAGGTTGACCCAGGTTGGCAGGTCCCCACCGCTGCCCACTCGCAGCAGGACTCTGTAGTTGGTCTCAGGGCCAAAGCCCCACGCCATCTCCTGCAGCTGAGCTTCTGCGTCTCCTTCCAGCTCCCGAGTCACGTGGAACAACACGGAGCCTCCTCGGACCCTCATCAGAGAGACGTGGGCTCTGGAATCCGCACCTCCAGAACTCAGGGGCCCAGTGCCGCAGACGCCTAGGGCATCGGAAAAGGGAGACGTGAGGGATGAAGGAAGGACCACACCACCCGTCTTCCAGGGAAGTCACCAGGCCTCTCCCTGGGGTCTCGGGAGGCAGCCAGGGGCAGCGAATGTGAACATTCGGAATCAAGTCCTGCTGTAGTGGGTGCAGCCCTGGGCAGGCCACTCGCCCACCTGCAGACCCCTCCCTGCCTCACGGTGACAGGTGAGGTAACGAGATCATGGACCGCGGTGCCCAGAACATCTCCCGTCAGTGAGAAGAGCATCTGTAGGAAGCAGCTTCTAGAGTGGCTCCGTCCCCCCTCGTGGTCACTCTGTGTCACCCTCTCCTGGAGTGTGGCTGCACCTGGGACTGGCTTATAAGGAATGGAGTGCCACAGAGCTGGGTGCAGCCTTGGGCCACCACAGGGGAGGGGCAGAGACCTGGGCCAGAAGCCACAGGGAGTGCATGCCACCAGCAACCGTGATGAGCTGGCAGATGACCCCTCCCCTGACTCTCAAGCCCCAGCTTGAGTTGAGTTCGGTCCTGTTTCCCGGCTGTGTGGACTTGAGTAGTTACTAACCTCCCTGCCTTCAGCTTTCTCGTCCGTGAAATGGAAATGGTCACAGTGCCCACCTGACAGAGTTACNGGGGGTAGTTGGTGAGCCCAGGTGAGCCAGCATGGCAGCCCCTCACAGGCGCCACCCTGGCAGAGACCTCTCTCTGGTGGCCCCGCTGTGTGACTGCACCTTCTTAGTGTCGTCACAACAGATATCGCTTAGGTTGGCCACGGCCAGAGCTTTCCAGGCTGATCCAGCTAAGGTGAAGGCCATCTCAGGACATGGGTGGGGTCGGCGGTTACAGCGGGCACTCAGACAAGCAAGGAAACGATGGCACAAGGATAGGATGGCAGTTACACATGAAGAGCAGTTAGCACCTCACTCAAGAAGGAATCTTAGGGGAGGTGGCAGGTGAGAAGGTCCTGGGAACTGCCTTGTGCTGTCCCCCAGGAGGTGACCACGTGGACTGGTCACAACCCATCTCACAACACGCAGCCGTGACTGTGCTCTCAGCTTAATTCCCTCTCTCTGCCCCGCAGGCCTCTCGTGAACCCCGCAGGCACACAGCCCAGGTCTTACCTGGAGGCATCACAGGCAGGCCTCCCTCCTGCAAGAGAGAGCAGAGGGTGTTACAGGAGCCTCTGTGGAACCCTTCTTAGCTCTGCCCGTGGGACGCGGCAGACTGGGCCACAATGACCAACCCTGGGACTGACCCTGGCTTCCTGAGGGGTGTCGTTACATTGTGAAAGGGGCCCCCCATCCATGACCCTTTAGCCTGGAGTCTGTAAAGAATAATGGCCCATGGCAGCCTGGAGAAAAACAGACTCCATCAGCTGTGAAGACACCTTAATAAGTCAGTAGGTTATCAACACCATCTGCGTCCTGTTTCCACCCCTGCTTCTCAGCCTTTCGTCCCCTCTTCCCACTCCTGAGGGTCCTGTAAGGGCAGGTGGGTGAGACACTGCAGCTTATGATGTTGCGTCAAGCACATCACATCCAGGGGTCTTCCACCCAGTGGGGCTGTTTGGTAAAGACAAACCCTGGGGGACCCAGAGGGGAAGGTGGGGGGCTGTAGGATTATGGGGGGGAGCTGTTGAGAGCTCAGGGGTGGTTACCAAGGCAGCATGAGCCCCAGGAAACGGAGGTGGGAAGGGTCAGCAAAGGTCAGCCGGGGTCAGCAAAGGTCAGCCGGGGTCACCCACCTGCTCTTCCCGGGAGCCAGCAATAGAACAGCAGTGCCACAGCCGCCAGGCCCACCAGGCTGAGCAGCACCCCGGTGACGCTTGTGGCCACATGGCCACTGTTGCTCCCTGTCAGCCCTGAGGGGAAACGCTGTGCGTGAGCCAGAGGGACGGGCTTGTGGTCCAGACCACGCTGACCCCTGGAGCTCGTGCCCGGGCCTGGGAGGGAGGACGAGTCCAGGGACTGGGCGTCTGTGGCCGCTGCGGCACAGGAATCGGCCCCTCTCCGCGAGGGAGCTCCGCCCTGCGGCCGAGGGTCAGGTGTTCGTGGACGGGCAGAGCAGCAGCTGCTGAGCACTGAATCCAGTGAGCGCCTGGACCCGCGCCCGCTCAAGTACTGTCACTTCAGGAAGTAATTTCGAGAATCCCAGCTTTGGATGCCGGTCTCCGGGAAGCCCCGTCCTACCCTGGCACTGTGCAGATTGTCACAGTATCCTTGCAGGAAATTCTTGTCCTCATGGTGGCTGGGCATAGGAAACTCACCTGTGATGGAAAGTGTCACAGCCTCACTGCGCTGGGCCCCCAGCCCATTGTCAGCCTCACAGGAGTAGTTTCCAGAATGTTCTGAGGTCAGAGACAGGTTGAAGGACACGCCTCCTCCTGAGGGGGCCGAGCTGCTCCCCAGGGTGACATTGTCGTGATAAAACCGGTACAGGATTGGAGGAGAGCCTGTCTGGGCCTCACAGTGGAGCTCCACCGTGTCCCCCACCAGGGCCTGGGTCCCAGGAGCCCTGAGGGTGAGGACGGGCCGAGACGCTGGAACTGAGGAGACAA